TAGGCAATCCTGCTTAGCAGGGGAGTTGGACTAGATGATCTCTAGAGGTCCCTTCCAACTCTGTCGAATCTGTGAATCTGTAAATTCAACTTTAAATTTCATCTTGTTATACATATTTTCATGGCATCTCCTTTGGTTTAAAAAGAAGTATAAAACAAATTTTATATAGAGTATCACTATAAATCTATAAATAAAAAAAAAAATCAATGATAGTAAGTAAATATTAAAATACATTAAACAAACTTTTTTATAGAAAAAAAAGGAAGACAATATATTATAGTTATACATTAGTTCAACAGTTTCCTTTTTAACTTCAAAGCTTACTACAAAGACAGTGAACTAAATGTACTCTGCACTCTACACACAGTACTAACAACTAAAAAACCTAACTTTTATCCAATTCTGCTCTAACTTACATTAGTGAAACTCTGTTGACTTCCGTTCAGATGCTTCCTAACTACTGGTGGAAGTAAATGAAATGAGATACAGAATAATTTGCTACAAGAATCTTTTCCTGTTCTAGTGGGCATGATCATCTCCTCCTTGCTTTGGCCGTTTTTCTCACTGTGAAACATGCTGCAAGATCCCAGATAAAATCTTAGGAGAGGCTAAAAACTCAGTTAATTCATGTCAACAAATTAATTAAATGAAAATAACCATAAGATTTAGACATTTAATCCTACAGCATTCCAGGGATTTTCCTAATAATATACTCACAAACTGTACACATGAAAAGACATAATTACTTGCTTGAAAATAAATACATGCACAGAAACATTGCAAAACTGGCAAGAACAGACATTTTTAATCTCCTCATATTAGTTCATTTTACTTGGGACACAAACAATTACACAAAACAGAGCCCTAGTGTTCAAGACCAGGCTGGATGGGGCTTTGAGCAACCTGGTCAAAAGGGAGGTGTCCCTGCCCATGGCAGGGGGGTTGGAACTCGATGATCTTTAAGGTCCCTTCCAACCATTCTATAATTCTATGATTCTATGACAAGACAAAAGGGAATCATGTTTTCCCTCTACACAGCTTTCTTGGAAGAAAACAATACACAGTATGACCATGAGCTTTTCTTTAAGACAATGTGCTAACACTGAAAAAGATTTGGGTTAAACATAAGAAAACAGTGAATACAGTGAGTTCTTAAGGTGCTTCACTAATGGTATTTTAACCACAAGCTAAAAGTGTAAGAGAAATCTAACTATTCCCACCTCCATTTAAATAAATTCACTTAATGCAGCTACATTGTTGTTGTTTAGTGTTTAAGTCTTTACCTGAGTCAAGTCTTTGACGTGCCACTTGGTATTGAAGTGAAAATGTTTATATTCATTTTCATCATACAGATGCCAGATTAGCTTAGTCAAGTTCTAATACCTTTCACTTCATTCAATAGCCAAAGCGCAAGTCCCTTTTCTGCCTTCACAGTATGTTTTTTTCCTGAAGTTTTCTTTTTTTAAAATATATAGTCCAAAGGGCACTTAAATCCCAAACTGACATTACTTTTGAAACTGAAGAGTGATATAATAATTTCTGGATAATCATCCTAAAGAGTTCTGATTCAGAAAGTATTTAAATATGTATATAAGGATACGCGAAATCCCCATGAAACTGAAGTAAAGCTCGATCTCTGATTATGTGCTTTTTAACTTGTGGTCTGTATTTGCATTTATTTTTACTGTAAATGCAAGATGTAGAAAGAAAAATACCAAGATATTTTGAAACTGAAAACGTCATGTAAAAACTAGGGCAAAATTGTCTTTTGGATGCTGGTAACAGCAGTTTGTTGCAGCCAGTAGTAAAACTAACAGGGACAGAATCACAGAACCAAACTACAGATAACCTCTGACATGCCAGAAGGTGCAAGCAATCTTAATAATTGATCTAACATTAATCAAGTGACATGTGATTCCTGCAATTTAATAATATATGCTGGCTCATAAATGGGCACGTAATTGGAAACTACAGAGACTTGTACCCTTGAAAGAGGAATGTCAAGAGGTAAGAAGGAGCAGGGGCAGATGAAGTATTTTAAAGGATGCATCTAGCTATGATATGTGGTGTGGTTGATAGTCCTACTGTGAGAGCAGCCACCATTGATAATGCTACCCATACACCCTGGTTTCAGGTCCTTCTTATCCATGCACAGCCTTACCTAACAACAGCATGTGAGACAAAACTAAAGTGAAGCTCTTTTGAATTTCAGCATAATAACTCATAAGCAAAAAACAAGACAAGACTATGCAGTACTTATTACAACAGAAAAGTGTTTGGATAAGATATTCTTTTTCAGTCTCCATTTTATTTAGCTACAGACACCAAACTTGTCTCACAAAGCAGATTTCTTCTTCCCTCACAGTTATTCAGATTATATTGCCCTTTAATTTCTTCCCGGTTATGACTCTAGCAAATTCCACCAACATGTTTTTAGTTATTGTGTTAGGAGAAATTTGACTCTAAAGTGATCTTTGAGGAACTTCTTTCCAATACAGGATTAATCACAAGGCTTTATCACTCTAACAACCTTCTTTATCAAAACCTATTTGAATCTTCTCCTCTAGTCAATGAATGCATGAATAAAATTTTCCTACTACTTAGTAAACTACTGCTTTCATGATGAAGTAGTAAATTCTATGTGCCTCCTTACCATATATCGTCATTCAGGATTAATGTCTCTGTGCTAATTTCATCCAGAAAACCCATCATTTTAAAGAAAGGTGCCATGTTACAGTGATATAATTTGCCATTGGTAAAACATTTGGATGGTAGAATATTTCTATTTGTTCATTACATCTGTAATTCTTTCAGAAAAAATCATTCTAAAGTCAGTCATGTTACCAAGCTCAGAATAATCTGCATGTTCAAATACTAGCACTTTCAAAATCCTGATGGGATATTGTCCGTTAAATCTAATTTGAGCACATGGCACTTTTTTCGTTCTACTTCACATGTAATTATCAGTCTTTTTTTTTTTTTTCCCCCTACATTTTTTCAACTTATCCAGTGTTTATGTCCTCAAAGTTAATTGCTGAAGAGGTTATTACAGTCTACTTTTATTCAGTTTAAAGTCATAAGACTTTAAACTGTCTTTTTGTCTCCTCTCTGCATTAAAATCTTATGCATTAAATGAACTTCAGTATATATATAGCAATAACTTTATTAAACATGCAGTGGGAAGACTTAGGGAAAACTAACATGCCAGATGAAACAAATACTCACATAATTTGGTGGTTTACATTACAAAATTAATATCCTCTATATATTGTACAAGACTGACTGAAATACTATTTTCCATCTGACCCTGACTGATGTAGTCAGTGGTTCTTAAAAGTATGTCATATGTCAAAAGCACCTTGTCCCAACCAAAAGGATTTGTTTTACGGCAGAGCACCTTGTCCCTGAGAAAGCAAGAGCTAGTCTGCAGAAAAGAAGAACATGCAACTTCAGCTTCATTCAGAAGTCATGATATTTGGAGCCTGTGGATTTGCTTGGTTTGGGGTTGTTTTGTTTATTTGTTTGTTTTTAAAATCAAATGCACTCTTGTAATGTCTTAGTTTCATTTGTAAAAAATGGATGAATGATACCTGCCTGTCTTCCTAAATTAATCTTCTCACAGTGATGGCTGAAGGAAATCAAAGCAGCATGAAATGATGGAGAAGTTAAAACTTGTAATTTTATTTCATCTTTAAGTCAAGATCAATCTTTCTTATATTAAAACTTTGTTTCATCCTTTTGCCTTGCTCTCATTGAGAAGTCAGTTGCTCCAACTAGTATTTCCTGAACACTACCAGTAATTATGTGAGCAAGCACAACTTTTAGAGAATTTTATTTTGATAAGATATTAAGAGACAAAATATCCTGAATTTCTAAAGGGAAAAATCCATGGGGAAAATCCATTGAAGAAAATCCAAATCCTGGCTCCAAAATTCAAGGCCAATTTAGAGAAAACAGTCAACACCAGCAACAGATTCATAAACTAATTCTTTTTAGCAGGAATTTTCGAAAGAAAATTTCAACCTGAGGCAGAGGTTAGCTGTGGAAAATATCAATCAAAATGGCTAAAATTCAGAGTTTAGAAGAGTGCTGTGGAACATTATTTCATCATCTGAAATTTTCTAAAACAAATTCAAAATTCAATGGATCTTTTAATAGACTGCAACTGAAAATAGTTAACATAGTAGTACTCTACATTTTAGGATTCGTATCAGGTAAGTGAATCACCAGAGATGCTGTCCACAGTGATGATATGAAAGTTGAGAACAGATAACTCTTGGAAACTAAGAAAAGGTCCTCCCTGAGAAGACATTTTCAAAAGAGTAGTTGATAACAGCTGTAACCTATATCTATCTTACACAAAACTATGCACTCATCAAATCTGTGATTTACGAGTTCATTGCATTGCCTTATTACTGTCTCAATATTTTCCCCACAAACCTACAAGAAGTACATATACAAAACAAAATCGAACAAAATAACCCTGGCTGGCTTTCTTTTCTTGTAAAGGGCTGCTATAATAATTGAATCAAACCAAGTATTATATATAGATGATTACGTTAATGTAAAATGGCTTAGTTGATGTTTATGCAGCATTTATATCTGTGCTTATTTTATTATGAATGCTTTGTTAAACAGCTATAACTGGTCAACCACCAGCAAAAGTAAATTCATTTTAAGGATTATTGCCCAATAAATAATTTGCTGAAGCTTATCTAAGCCATATTTAATAAAATTCCTAACCCTTAAAATAGAGCAAATTCATTTGCAGCAATTACTGAGGGTTTATAACTGTCATATGCCCTGTGTGTTTGACCATATACTTTAGAGGGTAATCAGATACCTACAGATAGGTAGCCATTAAAATTAGGCATTTTTATTATGCTGTTAGGTTATTTCCAAAATGATGCATTTACTATGCATAGAAAATTAAAGCTGTGAATAATATGTTCACATTATTTCAAGAATGCCTTGTTAAGGATATGCTACTTTTCTTCCAGAAGAGAAGAAGCAGAAAATTCAGCAATGGCTAAAATATTCACCAGCAAGAGAAGAGAGACAGAGACAGTTCCACTCATGACTCCCCAAGACAAAATGGCCCTCAGGGTCATAGCTGCAGTCTTTTCTCCTAGATGTAAAACAATGGGTAATAAAAGTATAATAATAATAATAATAAAAAAAATTCTCTATGGACAAGTTGACAATGCATTCAAAGGCATTCATAGAAGATAATGGTAGGGTAACAGAGAAATATCTTTTTTTCTTAAGAGCAAAAATAGAAGACCAGATTTGCAATTGTGGAAGTAAAGTTTCTGATTTAATTCCTGGATAAAACAGAGAATCCTGAAGCAATTTGGGATAATCCCTTTGAATTTTCTGTGCCCCTGCTTTTTGAGCTTTAAAGTAGAGTTATTAATAGAGATGCTTCTCTGTTTCAGAGAGATGGATAAGAAAGTAAACTTTGGTCGTGAAAAGCCTGGCCACATCCGTTTTGGCTAAAGGTACACTTCCAGTAATGGAATTGGCTACATTTTTTGAGATGGGCTTTTACCTTGTTGATTTCTGAACATACTAACGATGTCATATCTTTGATTGGAGAAAATAATATTGGCTGGCCTGCTTCCACCATGGTCATGGTCTTAGTGGATTCATGAATAGGTACAAACACCTAAAACTGCAATAGGTAACTTTTTCAATGTTTGGATTGAAAGCACCCTGAATTTGTACTATGTCAGAAGAATGAAAGGTGATTTAGCTACTTTCTCCTCACTCTGTACCACTCCTTCTAAGAACCTATGATGTTCAAAATTCAGTTTGTATGGACAGTAACAAAAGTTCCTGCAATTACAATGTGAAGACTCTGAAAAATGTTACCTGTTTTGGGGTTAAAATCAGAATATCTTTTAAGAAAACATAATGAATGGTAGCCATATCTGTTTTGTTTTGTTTTGTTTTGTTTTGTTTTTTAAGAAAAATACAACTGAATTACAACTACAGTTTAAAAAGGGAAACTAAATTGGTTCTACATATGTTATTAGACTCTCCTGAATATTTTATGATTGTTGCTTTAACCTGAATTTCCTGAAATCATATATAATATTTAACATAATGAAATGTAAATACAATACCAGTTTGTGAACTACCCTAATTTGTTAACTGAAGTGATAAATTGATTTACATATTCAATCATTTAAATTGTAAATATAAATTAATTGCAATTCTCCTACCTGGAGGCTGATATTGATCAATAAGATTTTTAGTCATTAACAAAATGCCATCTTTTTAATTTAACTGTTTCTGCTTTTTTTCCTTCAGAAAAACTCTTATCTGATAAAATATAAAGACTTTTCAACTGTTAGCACCTTTTCCTTTCTGGAAAGTATTATTAACAGCTAAACTGATTTCCCACAGAAAAAAAAAAAAACAAAAGCAACCCGAAAGTAATACTATTTGTGTTTTGAAAGGTTAATAATATCTTTTGCAATAAAACAAAGTTGGAAATCTTTTCTTAAGTAAGCCATCTCTGAGAAGTTCAAGGTTTTGAGGCAACTTAAAATTTTATAAGCACTTACGGTTCTACAGTTCATTGTTCCAATATCCAAGAACTAAGTGGGAAGTTAAAAGGTTTGGGTTTTTTTTTTCTCATAATAGTGCAACTTAACTAGAATCATTTGGTTTGCAGATAGATAGAAGAAAATTGTCTTCTCTTACCACCTTCTCTAAATACTGTATTGCAAAGGGAAACTTTAAAAATATACTGAAAATATCTGCAGGGAAAGAGCAACTAGTCACTCTACTTTGGCAGTGGTATAAAATATGCAAAAGGACCAGAGCAGACCAAGTAAGCAGTTTTCAAAGTAAAATAATTGCTGCTATCATTTGGTTTGCAATGTTTTGGTAAATGAAAATTCTGACATTTGCCTATAAACAAGTGTTGATACAAAACACTGTTAAATTTATGTATTTATTTTCACAAATTATAAATAATTTTTGTTATTTACCAAACAGATTGAAAAACAGATTTTTCAGACTTGGAGATCTTGAAGCTTTTTGTTTCAGCTAACAGAAATCACAGCTGTAACAAAAAGTATCTTATCTGTAGATAATTCAGGGTAGAAATCTGACACTTGTTGCATTACATCATGGGAACATCTTGCCCCATGCTGGGTATATGATTATTTTTTTTCTTTGACCATTTCTAGAGGGAATATTTGCCTTTTTAAGGTTTACAGTGTCATAACTGTATGCAACATAACTGTCTGCAACATAAGGACTCCATCTGTTAAATTATGTAGGATGTTTCATAGGAAGAAAAAAACTGAAAAAGAATCTGATATAAGCACAGGTAAGAAATTCAAGCTCTCCACTGAAATTATAGTGTCAGGTAAGTAAGAAGTCTTAAGCAACTTTGAGTGTTTTAGTTCTAGAGATAAAACTGTACAGGTAGATCTCAGTTCCATAAATCTTTACAAAGCTTTAGCACTACATGTATAGTTAGCCTTATTAAACACAAAGAGTGCAAGACTTAGGAAATACATTAATAATTTCAAGACTAGTGACACATTTTTTAAGTAATTCAGAGATCTTCAAAGATCAAAGATGAAAAATGCTTTATAGACATTTGTTATAGACAAGGTATTTTTCTTTCTTTCTTCTATGCATTTTTTCCTCCAGGAAAGTGCACAACAAAAATTTTCCTACACAAATGAAACAGCAGAAGCTGATTGTGTAAACGTATAGACAGAAATGGCTGGAAATTTTCCAACATAATATTTTAAAAAGGAAGTATGGATCAATCTAAGTCAAAACTTCTCTCACATAAATTAAATCAGGAGTACTTTCTTCCACTGAAGGTTTAATTGATAGCCAAAATAAAAAGATCAAGGGAGGAGAGAGAAAAATCATAGAAACATAGAACGACTGGAGTTGGAAGGGACCTGAAAGATCATCAAGTTCCAACACTCCCCCATGGACACCTCCCACTAGACCAGGTTGCTCAAAGCCCCATCCAGCCTGACCTTGAACATCTCCAGGGATGGGGGCATCCACAGCTTCTCTGTGTCCTGTTCCAGTGTCTCACCATCCTCACAGTAAAGAATTTCTTCCTGATATCTAATCTAAATCTACCTTCTTTCAGTTTAAACCCATTACACCTCGTCCTATTGCTACACTCCCTGATAAAGAGTCCCTCCCCACCTTTTCTGTAGCCCCCCTTGAAGTACTTAAAGACAACTACAAGGTCTCCCAGGAGACTTCTCTTCTCTAGGCTGAACAAGGTCCTGAGGGAATTTGCGGATACAGTTGCTAAGACACTCTCCTTCATATTTGAAATGTCATGACAGCCAGGCAAAGTACCCTGTGACTGAAGAAAGGGAACTTCACATCAATTTTTGAAAAGGAAAAAAGAAAGAGCCTAGGAACTACTGATCAGTCAGCCTCACCTCAGTCCCTGGTAAGATCACAGAACAGATCCTCATGGAGGTTATATTGAAGCATATGGAAGATAAAGAGGTGGTTAGAGACAGCCAACATGGTTTCACCAAGGGCAAATCATGTTCCACTAATCTGGTGGCCTTCTACGATGAAGTAACTACATCAGCAGACAAGAAAAGAACAATTGATGTTATCAATCTAGATATTTTTAAGGCCTCTGGTATGGACCTCCATAACATTCTTGCTGCTATATTGGAGAGATACAGATTTGATCAATGTATGGTTTGATGGATAAGGAACTGTCTGGATGGCCACATTCAAAGAGCTACAGTCAATGTTACAATGACCAGTAACGAGTGATGTCCCTGAAGTGTTGATGCCAGGACAAAAACAATTTTATATCTTCATCAATGACATAGACAGTGGGATTGAGTGCACCTGCAGTAAATATGTGGATGACGCTGAGTGTTACAGTCAATACATTAGAGGGAAGGGATGCCGTGCAGAGGGACTTTGACAAGCTTGAGGAGTTGGACTGTGTGAACTTATTGAAGTTCAACAAGGCCGTGTGTAATATCCTGCATCTGGATCATGGCAATCCCCAATACCAGTACAGACTGGGGGATGAATGGGCTGAGAGCGGGCCTGCAGAGAAGGACTTGGTGTCCACCACACCGGTGGATGAAAAATTGGATATGAGCCAGCAATGTATGCTTGCAGCCCAGAAAGCCAACTGTATCCTGGGCTGCATGAAATGAAGTGTGGCCACCAGGTCGAGGGAGGTGATTCTGCCCCTCTACTCTGCTTTCATGAAACCCCACTTGGAGTACTGCATTCAGCTTTGGGGATCTTAACACAATAAGAACATGAACCTGTTGGAGCGAGTCCAGCGGATGGCCACGAAGATCATCAGAGGGCTGGAGCACCTCTCCTATGAAGACAGGCTCAGAGAGCTGGGGTTGTTCAGCCTGGAGAAGAGAAGGCTCTGGAGAAATCTTATTGTAGCCTTTTGGTACTTAAAGGGAGCTTACAAGAAAGATGCAGAGAAACTTTTTACCAGGGCCTGTAGTGACAAGACAACAGACAACAGTTTAAAACTGAAAGAGACTAGATTTGGATTGGAAAGAAGAAAGAAATCATTTACAGTCATGAGACACTGGTACAGGTTGCCCAGAGAAGATGTGTATCCTCCATTCCTGGAAGTTTCCAAAGTCATGTTGGACAGGGCTTTGAGCAACCCAATCTCATGAAAAATGCCTTTGCCCATGGAATGGGGTTGGACTAGGTGATCTATGAAGGTCCCTTCAAACCCAGATCATTTTACGATTCCATGAAACTGTGACTTACCATTATGGAATAACTAGAAGTTAAACTTTCAGGAATTTAGAAAGCTTTGTAGAGACACAAAATCACAGTGCAAGATAGGTGGGAAATCCAAAGAACAAAAAAGTACTGAAGTAAAGACCTCTTTTGATAATGATGACGTAATCTACCTGGACTTATGCAGAGTTTTTGACACTGTCCCACGTGACATCCTGGTCTCTAAACTGGAGAGGCACAGATTTGATGAATGCACCACTCAGTGGATCAGGAACTGGCTAGATGGCCACACTCAAAGGGTTGCCGTCAATGGGTCAACATCCAAGTGGAAACCAGTGATGAGTGGTGTTCCTCAGGGGTCTGAACTGGGACCAGTGCTGTTTAACATCTTTGTTGGAGACATGAACAGTGGGATAGAGTC